TCTCGTACTCAACAATCGTGTCCTCTGCATCAAGTAAATAGCTTACCTTTCTCTTGCTGTACATCTCAAGGCACATTTTGCATTTACACAGAATGTTCCTCCAGTTTTTGGTCAAAAACAGCGGTTTCTTCTCAAACTCAGTACACGAGTTCATATCTGCCCCAATAGCACAATCATTTGCGGGAACGTCTTCCGAGTCATGGAGCTTCTCAGAACTTTCTCCTGCAACAGATATTTCAGCTTCAGTACTGTTCTCAGGCTGGCCAGGTTCAGAATTGTTTAACTTGGTAGTTTCTGAACAAGCATTAGCCGAACCAGTGGAATCTACTTGAGCAGCAACCCACAACTTCTCGGGATAAAGTGTTACAAACGAACAAACTGGGGAGCAGTTTTGACAAATGAAATCCTCATAGACCGGCTCTCCTTCCTCATCTGTTGGAATCTGTTACATCACAAAAGAAATTGAAGAGCACATGAGACATCATCAACAAAAGAAACCAAAATTAGTAAACTGCATACAAGGGTAAGCTATGGCTACTAACGCTGTCTGAAGGTTTGAGACCGAGATGAGCCTCGTGAAACCAATCCTCACAGATACAACACTGTATCATCTCCACTTGTTCTTCCACATTAGGGTCAGGGTAAGGTTGGTCACAAGTGCAGTACAAGCCTTTGAAGTTATGGTTGTAAGAATTCTCAATGTTTTCTATATCTTTGCTCGGGAGAAGCTTACAAGCTAAAGTTCCAAACTTTGAGTTCCCACAATCACATCGGAAATTTCTCTTAGTCCAGAGCTCCAAAAGCTTTATAACCAGCACAATATTTCAACAATTAGGAACCCCACTTAACACAGCGGAATAAAATTTCTCATATAGATAGACATAATCTGGCTATATGTACCACACCATACATACGTACCTCATGGCCATCGTGACAAGATAAGCAACAAGCGGTGCAAATTCCAGCATTCCCCTCTGGATTACATGTAACGCATGAGAAAATCGCTTGTCTTTTCATGTAACCCTTTGCGTAAGTACACTCATCTCCCTCATCTCCACCCAACACCAAATCCGCTTCCTTCGAACC